AAAAAAAAAAAAAAAAAAAAAAAAAAAAAAAAAAAAAAAATACTTTTTAAACCTCAGTTGAATACAAGTCTATGTTAACTAAAGTCATCAGCTACACTGCAATTCCTCATTCCATAGGGTACAAAACAAGCATTTATATTCTGAACCTTATATTTATAGATTTTGTGATTCTCAAAGTAAAGATCGTAGCTAATAAAAACTGTCACTCCTACTTTCATTTGCACAAAATGGCATCAAGATAAATACTCTGTTCACAAACACAACAAGGTTCAGGAAGAATCTGCAGTATTTGCCCTAAAAAGCCATCGAATCCTGTTTTCAAACACACTTCAGTCCACAGTGAAGGAAGAGGCAGGATCCAATTCATCCCCACCCTCCCACTCCAAATCTGTAAAAATTCAAAATAAAAAGGACAGAGTATAATACGCACTAACAATAGGTAAGAAAGCCAAGAAAACAACCTTCTGAAGAACTCTTAAACAAACCTATCAAAGCACCGTACAACAATGGATCACCTCAATGGACCTAATATTGGGGAAGATATTGCTTAATAACCAGTTGCCCAGCTATCACAGATACATATCAGATGGACACTCAAAGAAAAATTACACACCTGAAATACCAAACTGCAACTAACTATGGCACTTCAAGAGACTAGTTTGGGGCAGAAGTACTCTCTGGCTAAGATACCACGTTAACCAGAGTCATCGTAAAACTTTAATAGTTACAAATGATATCCATCCCAAAATACACCACATAGCTTTTCCCCAAAACCAAAGCTTTAAAAGGGTGCTACAGAGATCCTCATGTCCCTGCATTTGCTCCAACATGTAGATTCCTTGGCCCCACCTTGAAATTATGATTCAGGAGGTCTGAAGTGGGGCCCAGGAATCTTTTTACACTTACTAATGCTTAAAAACTACTGTCCCAAAGGGGATAAACTCAGAAAAATATAGTATGATCCTGATGCAGCATTCTTCATTATGAACATCAACTGCTGCACTATGCTGTAACATGATGATCTCAGAGGTTACTCAAGTCTTCAGGCTATCTGCCTTCATGTCATGAAGCTACGTAATGCTAAGACTTTGAGTTTTTGCAACCTTTCTTGTTTTCTATCTCCTTCTTTACCAAATTAGCCATCCCTTCCCTCTGTGCTGACAAGATACCCTTGCCTCATTTAAAAACACGTAGTCTAAGAGACCAGAATTGGTCTAGATGAAGTGTAAAATGGCTCTAAATGAAGGCAGGAGAGGCGAGATTAAGTGCACCACACATTCTTTTTTTTTTT